GGGACCGCGCGCCCCGAGCCCGGGGCCGGCAACGCCGAGGGGCCGGGCGGCTCCGAATCCCGCGCGGGCGCGGTGGCGGCCGAGACAGCGCGAGGTGGTAGCACATTCTTTCCGAGCACGAGGAAGGTTTAATGTAGGAGCCCGCGCGGGGAGGGCCGGAGGAGGGGGCGGGGGCGCACGTCGGTGGACCGGGAAGGTGGGGGGACACGGGAGGGGAAGTTGGAGCGAGCGGTGGGAGCGGCGTGGGCAGCCGAAGGTGGCTGCACCCCCTCCCCTGCGTCGCCCCCACTCCCGCCCCCGCCCAGTCCGCCGAGGCATTCCTGCGGAGCTGAAGCCCCAGCGTCTTGGGGTCCAGACCCTTTGTGGCGTTGGGAGGTTGGGTACGTGCAGCTGCGATGTGCACGCGCGTGCGGACACGGCTGTGCACACACGCACACGCACACGGGGAGTCGCTTGGAAGTTGACCCCAAGTAAGACCCTGTGGGGGCGCGCGTGCCCGAGGTGCCGATACACGGCCCGCAGGAGCGCGCTTCCGCGGGGTGGGCACTTGCCAGGGGTGGGGAGGTGGGGCCCGAGAGTGGTCAGGCCCTCCCTGTCCAACGTCCTCAGGGACTCTCTTTCCGTCAAGGTCGCCGACCCCTCCCTGCCTCCCTCCCTTCCTCTTCACCAGTCCCCGACCCTTTTCAGCTGGGGGAGGGGTCGTGAAATCAGCCTGGCACCTTCCGATTCCCGGAAGGTTCCGTTCAGCGGATTTCCCTCCCACGGTTCCTCTCCCCGCCTTTCGCCTCTCCTTTTCCCCGGGGATCCATAGCTGCCCCCTCTAGTTCCAAGCCTAAGAACCCGCCGCAGCCACCTGATCGCCCCGAACACTCGCCCAGCGACCCCATCGGCTCCATGGGCGGCTCCCATTCCCGGCCGCCCCTTCCCCAGCGGACTGCTTTTGCGTTGAGTAGAAATTCTAAACCAGGCTCAAGAGCGCCCTCGCGGGGCTACCGCCTGAGCGCAGCTTCCAGAGACGCCGCGTGCGAAGCTACGAATCCCGGATCCTGGTAGCACCTACCAGCAGCGCGACCCTCTGAACGCTGCTTGCCAACTACCAGGGGACGGAGATTGGTCTGTCCCGTTCCTGGAAGGCAGGGAGAGGGTGCCGGTCAGCTTTGTGCGCAGAAATGCTCATCATGAAGGGGATGAGGTTTCTGAGGGTCGGGTTGCACCCCTGCAGGAGACCACAGGACTGGTGGACAGCCCTGGGAGTGGTGTTTGGGATGTGTAGCCCTTGGGGCGTCTAGCAGCCCCGCCGGGGAGCGGCCGGTGGGTGCATAAAGGCGCCAGCTCACGGGTCCCGTGCAGCCATGACTCGCAGCCGGTAAGTCTCGTCCAGCCTGTGGGTCCAAGCTGTGGAAGCTTTGGGAGCTCCACTGTCCTCTCCTGCAAACCTTCGCTTACCCAAACTCCTCTTTCTGCGAGTGAGCAAGGGGAAAGAGATCCCTGCTGGTGTCAGAGGTGAGGTGGAGGAGGTTCCCACCTTTCCCTTGGACTCCTGGTAAGGAAGGTGATGGTCAATGGAGCCACTGCCAGCGACCTGCGCTGAAAGAGATCTGGGACCTCCCAGGAGCAGGGACAGACAGGCTCAGAGCCTGGCCCTGGGGCCTCTCTCCAAGGTCCCCTGGGGGGGCGCGCTTTCTGTGGCACAGTAGGCCTGATCCTCCTTCAATTCTCTCTCTCTCTCTCTCTCTCTCTCTCTCTCTCTCTCTCTCTCTCTCTCTTCCTCTTCCTCTTCCTCCTCTTCCTCCTCCTCCTCCTCCTCCTCCCCTTAACCGTTGGCCTGCCTCCCCAGGAAGCAACCTGCCAGGGCCTGAGCTGTCCAGCTGGATGTCCTCAAGTTCAGATATGCCTTTGCTCCCTAGAGAGGACCTAGGCCTGTTGGGCCTGGCTGGCTAGGCTGTGGACCCAGCCAAGGCCCTGCTCTCAGGCCCTGATTGCTGCTGTCTCCTCTGGCCTCTCCCTCCCTCACTCTATCTTCGTCTCTCTTTCTCTCCCCACTTAGCTTCTTCTCCACCTCCCCAGCAGACACAGGGACCCCAAGGCAGCCTGTCGCATGAACGCCTCATACCCACACACACACAGAATGCACACATGTAATCCACACAGCCTCATATCCCATGAGCATGGCCCTGAGTCACCCTGCTGTCACATGACCCTGAGGAGCAGGAGCCCCACCCAATGGAGGCTACCTGTGTATCCATTCTCACACAGCCTTGTGTTGCTCCAAGACCCTCACACACACACACACACACACACTCTGACCAGGATATACAAAGTCACTCCCCTTGTCCCACATTACTAGGTTCCTGCTGCTAACATCAGCCATGTAGGCCTCAGGACAGTCCTAGACCTCTGCCAACTCCATTTCACAGATGGTGACACTGAAGGCTAAGGGTTAAGTGACTTGGCCAGTATCACCCTGAGTGGTTAACAGCCCAGCTAGGAGTTAAGCCCTGATAGTCAAACTACAAACTGTCCAATATTTTCTCACTGCTTGCACATACATTCACACACACACACACACACACACACACATACACACACACACATATTCATTAATTCACACACACTCAGGCTTGCTCTGCAAGTGTAGCTGGAAAGCAGGGCCCATGCATGTGATGACAGCTGTCTTCTCTGGGATGAGTTGGTGCCACTCTGACCTGTAAGATCCAGAGGCAACAGGCTCACCCACCCCCTGGCATAGAGCAGCAGCCAAGGAATGGGTGTTCCCACCTGCCTTTCTGATGCCCACAAGTTCCACATTTAGAATTAGGTTGGATTAATGAGGATCCCTGCCCCCAGGGAGCAGGACCAGGACTCTTGATCAGAAAGATTGTCATTTTTATGGAAACAATCAACCACTACCTCACTCCCTTCCCATGTTCTCTGGGGACAGGCCTGCGCTCATGGTCTCTGCCCCCTACCAGCTAGTTAGAAGCAGCCCCCACCTGTACACCTGAATGCCCCGAGGACCCTGGCTGGGCAGCACAGGGGATGTCAGTATCTGTCTTGCTGTAGGGTTCTTCTATCAGAGTGTCACTCCAGAGAGCAAGATCATCTGATTCACCTCCCACCCCCACTAGCAGCATAACTGAAGATTCTCCTGTGGTTTCAGCATCTTTGAAGCCCACAGGTGATTCTTACGTCCTTAGCTGGACACAGAAAATGATACCCAGAAAAAAATGGTAACAGCCTCTTTCTGTGCCCAGAACTCTATAGAAAGAGCAGGCAATAGCCACTCATAAACAACAACAACAACAAAAAAAAAAACTGTAAAAGAAATATGGTGTCTAGCTTATACCCAGGCGAAAAGTCATTTTCTCATAGGTAAAGAGCTCTTACAAATCAATAAGAAAGATAACAAAGCAAAAACATGGGCAGAGGTTATACACAGAAAAAGAATTTAATAAAAAAAGTACCCTCCTAAAAACATTCAAAGAGCTGGAGATATAGCTCGGTGACATAAGCGTTTGCCTGGCAAGCACGAGATCCCCAGTTTGATTCTCAGTACCACAATAAAATAAAATTGAAACTTGTCTGAGATGCTTTTTCACTTGCCTGATGAACAAAGATAAGAAAGTATAATGATGCACTTACAGGCAGCAGTAGGGTGGGGAAGTGGATATCCTGGGAACCCTTGAAACAATAACAGAATTCCAAGATCCACACACCCTCTGGCTGAGCATTTACTTCTAGGAATGTGTCCTCCAGATACCCGTCAGGAGTGTGAGTCGTGATATATTACTGTGTGCAAGGTTATTTGTTGAAGCAATCTTGGTAATAGCTGAAGATTGGAAGTGTCCTAAATGCCCATACTCAGGGGAGGGCTCGGATGTGTCAGGGCACACATGGCTGTGGACTCACAGGTTGACTTGACTCTATCGCCAAGATTCTGAAGGGGACAAAAAGCAAGAGGCAGACCAGTGCCTATGGCACAATTTTTAAAAAACAGATATGCACACAGAAAAGGACCAGCAAAATAGCATCTTATTTTCTGGGTGTGCATAGCCTCATTTTGGGGACAATACCCAAGGGACCAGCACAAGCAGGTGCCTCTTGCAGGGACCTACAGGCTGGGGTAGTAGGGCTGAGAGAGGTGGGTAGAAAAGGATTTGCTTTGTAAAATACTGTATATAACTTATTGATAGTGAAATACAGTCTTACGTTTTCCTCTATGTTGTTAATACAGTCCTACAAGTTTTGACAAATGCATATGCTTGCTATAATCACTACCTCCATCAAAATACAGAACACCAGCATCACCCCCAGAAATAAGATGACTTTTCACGATATACCCATGCTTGCTGTTTGAATTTTGCACAATGTGCAGATATTTCTCCTTCTAATAAATTTGAATACAAAAATGAAAATGAAAAAATGGTTTCCTACTGTCATCTCATTTCATCCTTTACCACCCAGGAGGAACATCCTTCCCTCGTTTACAGGTGACAAGACTGAATTTAGGGGGCTGAGTGGGACTTGATTATGAAGCCACCACAGGGACAGGTCAGGACTTGAACCCCAAAATTTCCATCATATGAAAACTTCTGAAAATATGATTACTGAGATATATAGAATTCATCCATTTAAAGTACATAATTTAGCCAGGCATGGGGGCCTGTAATCCCTGCATTGAAGAGGCTATAGCAGAAGGATTACTATGAGTTCAAGGCCAGTGTAGACTAAATAGTGAGTTCAAAGCCAACTGACCTATATAATCTCTCAAAAAATAAATAAAAGAAAGAAAGAAGATAAGTAAATAT